GACATTGATAGCTAAGACAAAAAAGCGGAAAGATATGCAATTTTATATAATTATCAAATTATGTATATATTTTGGATGATATAAAGTCCTGTTAATCAGGTAGAATGTATCGAAAAGGATATTAATAATATATCGTACGAAGACATACTTTTGGTATAATATATTATATGTATTTCCTAAAAAAAAAAAGGTGAAATTAATGAACCTTAATTTTAAAATATCAACAATCTATTGGAATTCCCATGGGTAACAATTGTGCTCAATTATTAGCAGGCCTGTTCATATGAACATATTCATATTCATATGAAGCAGAATTTGCGCAAAATCTTATGCGTGAAAAGAAGAAATTGAAGAATTGATTCGATACACAAGAGTACCTATATTCTCTACGTATGAACAATTTCTAAAACACGGTAAATTATTGACAAGCAAGTTGATGAAACAAGAATATCAGCAGTCTCGTTTAAAGACATTATTTCATTAGTTCTATGGTCGATACACGGCGGATGTGGCCGGTCAGCAGTGGATGCTCACTACTCAATGGCACCTGATCCCACTTCTGATGTTTCGCAGGTCAGTGTTTGCTCCACTCCTATTTTGTATTGTTTTATAGATGTTGATATTGAATACTGTTCGTTATCTCCATATCCTTCTTCCATCAGTTATAAATACAACAAGTTGCTGTCCTTTAAAAAAGGACTGCAATACGTGGACCATATGCATGTTTTTCAAATTTTCAAACCGAAATTCAATTAAGAATTTTTTCTACGTGTAGTGAATTTTCATGTAGGTTTAATTTGTTCACATTTTCCACAATGATTTGCATACTTATGACTGATTGTAGTCTCAAAGCAAAGTTGTTATTTTTCTCCGAATAGCGGCCTTTGAAAACTCGGGCTATTTTGATACATATGCATGTAACCGATAATGGCTGCGACTTGACACCTGTTCTGGATTTATGCAGAAAAAAACAGAATCTATGATGGTTCAAGGTATCACAGCTCTGTAGCACGCAGAAATTTCCCAAGCCCCCCCCCCACACACACACTATTAAAACATGTTGCTATATATAGGCCTCTATCAAACGGCATTGGATTGCTGAAAAATTATTTTGCGAACCTTGATGCACAAGACTTATGCCGTTGAAAACTTCTTCTATCTTTTAAAATCTAAAACTATATCGTTGAATGACGTTTTTCATTCAAGTTGTTAAGTTACATGTATCTAAGTTCTTCCTACATTTTTAAAATGTTTGTACAATAGAATCAAAGTTTAGTTTGTACATAAAAGGTATAAGACTGTATAAGATGGAAATTCTGATTCCGCAAATGACCATGTATAGCGATATGTGGTTTTAAAAGCGCGTTTTGCAAATAATGGCATATTCTAATTCGTTAGGGCGAATTATTTTGGTAGGCCACACACACACACACACACACACACACACACACAAAAACGATTCTCTCTCTCTCTTCTCTCTCTCCCTCTTTCGCTTGACGCAACTCATATATATATATGCGAATTCTCCACAATTTCGCGAAAAAGCCTGTCGTTAACGTTGCCCATGGAACCTGTTAAACTCGCTTATATATTTACTTTGTGGACCTCAGGGTCCACGCAATTAACATATATTATCAATATATTGTGATAAATTTGTGTACCTATACAAAGCAATACACGAATAAAGTCCATCATATCTATTTCATATTTCAGCAGAAAATTTGTTTTACATAAATATAAACGAAAAAATTTAACACGTAAGTTTCATGATAAACGGGCACAACTTTTCAATCGTCTAATGTTGGACCGTTGAGTACAGAATTACACCTTCTTACGCCACAGTATGGGCGAGGTTTATAACTCTCATTTTTACGTTAAACATGACATTTTTTTAAAAACAATTTCTACAAAATAAGTATGTCAATAAAACAAAATGAAATGTATTTTTAACAAAATAATTATGACCCGACTGGCTTGCGGGTAAAATGCATTTTTCTTATTAAGAAACAAACTTGTATCTTCGGTCTGAAAACATTAAATCTGACAGTTATTATTTTGGGTCCGACATTATTCACATGCCCTCAACCCAATATATAACCTGTGTTATGATTTGTGAAATCGGACATACAAAATTTTCATCAATGTTTAACTAGATTAAAATAAACGCTTAATGAGATGTTGGAGAGGAAATAAGATGTTTACCGCTTAACTCACAGAAGGGCTGCTTAATCTATTTTATTCATTGGTGTTCAGAAGTGAGATCAAAATTACATCACGGATTTAGCTTTAATGAATACATGTATTCTTCTTTAATTGAAAAACATAAGATTCGTAACATTTTTATCTAATTTCTGACGTTTTTTATAACACATTTCTGAGACATTAATTAATGACAAAACAGAATAAGCATGATCCTCTGATTTCCTTCACTAAATGTTAATATTTAACTTATTTAATTTTTTTTTTTCATAAGTATGGAAAATTAATATAAAAGTTAAGTGCCTTTATTGTTTTTACGAAATTAACTTTCTGTTTATGCAGAAAAAATACTGGTATATTTATATAATATTTTCTGGATTTGCGACGCTGCCCATGACTCGAAAATCCTATTTCGTGGGGGTGGGGTGGGTGAAGGGGGGGGGCAACTTTTTCATACCAACTTCTTTCGTATCTTCTTTTTTTTTTGCATAAAATGCTAATTACCCTTATTTCAATTTACTGTACCAGAAATTGAAAAAGATCTATCAATTAACATTTGAAAAATTAAAATATGTTAGAAAGAAAGGGGGGGGGGACAGAACTTCCCTTTCTGTTGCTAAATGCCTGTATATTTCATAAATATATATATATATATATATATATATATATATATTATATATATATATATATATATATATATATATTAAATATAGTTAGTACCCTTTGATAGTTCAGACAAATGTGATGGCAATCATTCACATTTAAGAAGGACATAAAATTTCTGCATGTCTGAAAAATATCGTGCATGTATTATGTGGATTCAATTTTATTTATAAACAGGGTTTCCTTTGAGAAAATTCTTTTCAAAATGTTTCTTTAAATTTACTGAAAAGCGTAGAAGAATAAAGCATAATGTACATTCAAGTACGTGTACATGTATGATAACATATGAGAATTGGATACAGACATAATTAAAATTTGCCACAAATTACATTGTCATATTGTAATTTTTTGATTACCGGGTGGTAGTAAATTCAAAAATTACAAAATGACACCACTTTAAAACAGTGCTTCAATTGTGAAACTAATGTAGAAACATTTCAATAAAAACTATACAAATAATATAAATTTGAAATTCCCGCACCATTGGAATTCTTTGTTGTTTTCTGTTATATTTCCGCTCTATTTATCGTACTTTTAATCTACTTACTCTGCAATTCTTTAAAATATAATTGTACCAATCGCTTAATGCTGTTTTTGTAATAGCCCTGCCTTAAAATTTTGCCTTCAAAAAAGTAAAATATTATTTTAAAAGTGCTATGAAAAAAATCAAATGTACGAACAATGAATTAAATTGGTGTGGCCTTATTCACATGTATTGACTTTTACTTCCTTTCCTTTTTTTTCCTCAAATTTCTTCTATATAATCTACTCATTCTAGTATATGAATGTGTTGAGATGTATGACAATTACAATGGAAGTTAATCCTTTCATTTTCAAAACAAGATGGAATGCAACCCCTATTCGAATTAAATTCATGTCTATTAAGGACATACACAACGTACCTTACCTACTGATAATTTTTAAAGATATTCTAAATTTAAACTTATAATATCATTAAATGTTCATTGGACAAAAAATCAGCATGCGTTACCAGGGGTTTTGAAAAGATATCGAATTTTGAAAATTTTTGCATTATTCAAATAAAAATGTACAAAAATTATAAAACATGAATTCCAGATTCTTTTCCATCAAAAATTGTTTAAGAAGAGGTGTACAAATCCATATATAGACATTAAAAATATTGCACACAGGTCCTTCGTTTAGTGGAACTCTTCAACTCCAAGGCAGAATCCAAAAAAGTTAAAACTACGTTGCGCATGACCTTAACATGAAAGTCAAGAAATTTTACTGAAATTCTAAAGGACTTTATGTACTCCTTTAATTAATATACTATTATATGAACCTTTCTCCTTCCACAGAAACCAATTTGGATATAAAAATTAGCATAAAGTGTACACCTAAACTTGTTTTATTTTCTTCCTTGCATGGTCATTTCAACATTAAAGTATTTGTACATACATTTTAAAAATTTGTATTATGACAAGGGATAATTTTCACCGAGTGATCAACAAATTCTTCAAAATTCTAAACAAAATATGATAAATCTTCTACAATTCTTTCTATTAAAGAGCTTAACATTAATGGACTCAAGAAAATAATGCATTCCTTTTGAAAATAAAATAACCTACAGTAACAAAACCTGCTTCAGCTGTGTATTGTATATGAATATCCATCCACCGATCTCCAATTATACGATTGAAGAATTGTGGTTCTATGAACTATCATTTGGCAAAGAAAAACTCTGTACATTTTAATTTAAAATTTGGTCATTTTTTGTATAATTTTTTAAGGAGCTCTCCTTCTAAAGGAGATCAATATAGTCTAAAAATGGCCACAACCACCAGCCATATATAAATTTCCTTCTTATGAATTCTGGCATGTGGTAATTTGAAAAAAAAAATGAATTGAATCTAAATGATCTAGGCCACACCAATGAAAATTTTTTTAATAACTTACTGCTGAAATATATTTGAACAAAACCATACAAATTTATTAATTTCAATTTCTACGCACCAAAATCTGTGCTATTTTCTGTTCCATTTCCGCTCTATATATTGTATTTTAAATCTGCTTACTCTGTAAATCAGAAAAAATATAATTGTCCGCTCAAATTTTCAGCTTATTAAAAAATTGCCCAGCAAAATAATAATATTATCATTTAACCGCTTTAATTTTTT